ATACATTTCTGGCCATGGCAGGCTACTGGAACACATTAATTCAATAATTTACATAGTTCTCAGTTTAGAATAAATCATCCTCTACAAGAGATGTAATCATTTCAAACAGACGTTTTATCTTCACCCAGAGTTCAAATAATCTTCCAATATATTTTTTTAAAGCAAAGCATAACTAATTTGTTTTTACTATTGCTGAAACATCTAATTAAACTTGATAACTAAGAAACAGTCATTTATTGTTGCTCACTTGAACTTATTTTACCTCTTGCTAAAAGTCAAAAGAAATGCCAGGCAGTAAGGCAACCCTCACATATAAAACCATGGAAATGTTAAGTTTCCTTGTACTATCAGCATTTGTTAAAATGAACATTTTGAATACATTATTATAACAGGACCTCTACTATAAAACTGCAATATTTAAATATTTCTAACAGAAATATCTTAATTGGCATATGATATTGCTATATATAACTTCTTAATAGTTTTATTTTTATGGTGTTTTGTCCAATTTGTCTCTTTTACTCTCTTACCCATCATAGTTGTATTGGTGATGTTTTTGCTATTTTTGTTTGTAAATAAGTGATGTGTTTCATTATAATTTGCAGTCAATTATTCCCAGAAATGTATTTCTGTACACTCCGCCATTTATTGTCAAATCCAACCTATTTTAAATGTACCAGTATCCAAACATAATTTAATTAGTTTTAAGATAGTTTTTTAATGTCAAACCATATTTTCAGTCTATGGAGTTCTCTCTTTATATCACTGATAAGCTTGTGCAAGTTTTCCCCTGAACAATATAGAGGGGTGTCATCTATTTTTCAGATAACTCATCAGCTATGCAGGTGCAGTGCTTCTAAAGCCATACTTCTCTAGTTTGTCTAATGACATAAATAAGAAAATACTATGCTCTATGGTGTTAAAAACTTTTATTAAATCAACTGTAACTGTAAAAACTGGTCAAATGAGCAAATAACACAGCTGGTTAGCTTTTTGTGTCTCTATCTCCTGAATGGGGGAGAATGGAACCTGGAGGGCCAGGAGCAGAGTGGGGTGTCCCTACAGGCCCTTTTCCTTCTGATCCACCATGACCTGCAGCTGCTGGTTCTCCTGCTTCAGAGTGAGTATTTGGTTTTTCCAGTTATTTTCTCTGCAGCAGGGTGCAATTAAGACTCTGCTGCAGCTCTGCAGACTCCCAGATATCCTGCAAACAGATTCACAGTTGCTGTCAGGATTTGCCCCACACTTTGGTGCTGTAGGTCCACCCTGGTCCACCAACCTGTTCAGCTTGGTCATTCAGATGTTTGCTCTCCACTGATGGTAGTGGCAGGACCCCCTGTTGCCTGAGCACCTGGTCTTCACTCTGCCTATCTTTCTGAATCTCTTGGGCTCTATCCAACTCGGCTCCTTCCTTCTCCTGAATCAGCTGGGGATATTCATTCTGTCGGGAGATCCAACAAAATTAGAACCAAGGAGACCAATCCAGAAGGACCAGATGATACAGAACCATAAAAACAAGGTAAGCTGTTTAATTATGTTTACTTAATAAATACCATTCCTCTCCTTTATATGTTCTCTGATTGCTAACCAGACGCCAGTCATTTCCACTCCAAGTTACACAAATGTACGGTATTTCCTTTAATCAGTATCATAAATCGAATATTGAATGGCTTTTTTTTACTGTATGCTTCCTCTCTCTTCAGTGTGACAAACCTTGTAAGGTCCCAATCAATAAGACCCTCTGTTCATTTCCTGCCATAGAGTGTGCCTGTGTGAGTGTATGGCATAAGATAACTGCTAACAAAAATGTAGATGTTGGAATCTGTAAATGTAAGACAATAAATGGGAATACATTTCTGATTGCATTTGTCCCAGCTCTAAACCCGAGTGGTGTTTCATTTTGTGCAAGTCATGGAATATCCATAATGAAGACCATCACCAGCCATAGGGACGAACCCCTATGCACTCGGCACCAGGACACATTGGTTGGATGTCAATTGGATTTGCAGTTATATCTTCTGACAGTCGACCGCATGTCTTGGACATTCAGGTGAAGCTGGCCACCGATCACCAACTGGTGGTGAGCTGAATATACTGTACTGGAAGAGGAGGAAGTCAAACTGACTTGGCGGGCAGGAGTGAGTGTTTACTGTAGGGTCTGCTAGCAATGTCTGGTGAAGCCCTCAGTCAGGGATTTATTATACTCCCACCTCTGAGAGAGCTTCTCCCGGCCGTGGAATCCGCAGTTAATGAATCTGGAAGAAGCGGGAAACTGAGAAGGAAGAAAAATAAAGAGTACCCCTTGGAACTCCTTACCTCCAAGATCCTGAGCCTGGTGCAGAAGTTTTCAGACTGCGCGATGCTAAAACCTGGAGGAATCTTCGAGTCTAGAACCAATCTGTCCTGCTTTTCATCATCTGCCAAGGACAAGAAATTGCCAGTGTCTTTCTGCTGATTTAACTTCTCAATGGTTTCAGACATACCCATGGTGAATATCTTACCAGAAGAACCCGATTGACTCTTGGAACGTGCAAGAATCCGAACCCATCTGAAATCATCAAACTCCTCGATGGTTTCAGAAATACCCATGGGGAATAGCTCGTCAGGAAGGTCCACCAGGGCCTGGTTCTGCTGCTGGAGGATAGCCAACAACTTCTCCCTGCAGACACCAGAGATGATTCAGAATCAAATTTTGCAGACAAAACAGAAGTTAAAGTCTTTGGACCAGACTCTTTAAAAAAAGAAGCTGATTAGTCAGTCACTTCATTTGGATTGGATTAAACTGATTTCAGATAATAAAGTAAAAAATCTTGGTGTTGTTTTTGATCAGGATCTGTCATTTAAATCCCATATGAAAGAGGTTGCTAAATTTTCCTTCTTTCATCTGCGGAATATTGCAAAAAATAGAAATATCCTGTCCAGGGGTGATGCTGAGAAACTAGTCCATGAATTTGTTATTTCAAGGCTGGACTATTGTAATTCTTTACTATAAGGAAATCCACAAACTGTAGTTAAAAGTCTTCAGCTGATCCAAAATGTTGCAGCCAGAGTTCTGATGAAAATTAAAAAGAGCGATCATATCTCTCCTATCCTGGCTTCTCTTCATTGGCTTCCTGTAAAATCAAGAATAGAATTTAAAATCCTCCTTCTCACATATAAAGCCTTAAATGGCCAAGCTCCATCTTATATCAGAGATATGCTTGTTACTATGTTCCTAACAGAGCACTTCGTTCTCAATCTGCAGGTTTACTAGTAATTCCTAGAATTTCTAAAAGTACAATGGGAGGCAGATATTTTAGTTATCAGGCTCCTCTCCTGTGGAACCAACTACCAGTTTTAGTCAGTGAGGCAGACACCCTGTCTACTTTTAAGGGTAGGCTTAAAACTTTCTTTTTTGATGAAGGTTATAGTCAGTGATGAGAGTAACGGTTCATTTTGCGGTTCATATATATATATATATGTACAACTTTTCACACGATCATTGAAGTTTACAACAAACAAGAACCTAAAACCTTGTTTTTAAGAAAATCTGAACATTAGTCGGAATTTTACCCTCAGACATCTGGACCTAAACAGAATCTCCAAGTATTGAACATAATCTATGTATCTGGGCTTTAAGAATCAGAGCGACTGTGGATCGGCTGAGGTGGTCTGGAGGCCCAAGCTGCTGATTAGACGAGGTAGATGTTCCCATAATAATGTGGTTGGTCTATTTTGATGCTGGACTCAATCTGGGCCTAAGTGAAACTGATCCAGTGATCCAATTATGAGATGTCATTTTTTATAGAGAAAATCTGAAAAACTGTATGATATGCATAAAACATCATCACAGGACGTGCTAAATGGAAAAGATATAAAAAGACTAGGCCGTATGTAGGTTAGGTTTGTGAAAGTTGCAGCTAGGTATCAGGGAACCATTGAAAACATTCCCTGTTAGATCCCATATGATCTGCTGTCAAAGCTGAAAGCATCCACTCAGAGAACCCTACAGTGATGTGAAGGTTGTCTATGTGTAAACACCCCCCTGTCCATTCTCTAAAGGGTTAACTCGGTGGAAGTTAAGCCGCAATTTAACCTTCAAATAATATTTCTTTCTGTTAAAATCTAACAGTAATTACTTACTTGAATGTGTGAATGATAGAGAGATTAGCAGGCTATAATGTCTGGCTGCCTTGTTATTGTCAGACTCTTTTATCATTTGTACCCAGGAGATGGCGATGTATACTCATATTTGCTTTGCCTGTTTATTTTACAGCCCACGTTTTGCTTAAGTTGACAATTTATAAATTTTCTCAAATGTTAATTAAAACATATTGAAATGAACATAGCCAATAGAACCAAGACCTAACACATTGTTTAAAAAAATATATATATTAATACAAAAAATATTAGTAAACTTTTATTATATTAATAAACGTATTACGATAAATACATAAATAAAAAGTGCATGCATTATAAACCAAAAAAATGCATTACAGCTCTATGATCCCACCGATCATTGCTTTCAAATGGTAAAATAAGAAAGAAAAAAAAATCAGTTATATGAAAAAATTAAAAAAAAATACAATTATTTATGTCAAACAGACAAAACAATACTTCCTTTAAAGAAGAAAGAAATGTAAAAATGCTGTGATGAATCCTGATCTGGAAAAATTCGAGTGGCAAAAAGTACACGGAGAACACACGACGTACACATAGGATTAACAAAGTGATTTTTATTTTTCAAGGAGAGAAGGAAAAACCACAAAATAAATGCTTCGTAGGCACATCAAGTGAAAAAGAAAAAATCAGGTAACAAAGAAAAGAAAACAGCAGCTAGTTTACCGGATATATATTTATCAAGCTTCTGTCTAAATTTGCTGTTACTTGAGTTGGTGTTTTTATTAAAATAAAAGAATCTCGACGGCGATTCGGAGTTTTGTTAGTATTAATTCAAGCGTATACCGTAGGGGTGGTCACCCTCAAACTACCCGAAGCGTTAGATTACATTCGACGATGCACCGCCCGCGCAGAGGAAGTGTGTATTATATTTAACAATCCGGAAACTGACAGTGACTGGTTCCCACTAAAAAATGTCCCGACTTAAACTCTCTCCCGTTTCTGTTCCGCCTGTGGATAAGGAAACAAATAGGTAAATGTGACGGCAAAAGTTAGCTTCTTTTATATTGTGTTTATAAAATAATTTAGTTTTACATATAAAATGAATATATTTTATGTTCCCTCTCAGCGTCCCTCTGTTCCAAAATCCACCATGGCTCAGAGCTTTTTAATGGAGGTGTGCGTGGATTCCGTGGAGTCTGCAGTTAACGCTGAGCGAGGAGGTGAGTGAAGTTTGGTGCATTTTGCTCGCTCTCAGCCTCTCACATATTCATTTATGAATATCACTTGTAGGTTTTCTTCTAAATAAGGTAAAAAAAACAAAATAATTAAATTTTTGATACCATTCAAGCCGTAGTGAAGTGGGAATTTAACGTGCAGACTTGCTTTAATACTCATAATTTATGGGGGGAAAAAACCTTAAATGTTAGAACTGTAAATTTACAGTCATATTTTTATATTACTATTTTTATATATATTTTACTATTTTTTTTTAAGGCTGCACATAAAAAAAAAGAAATTGTCCAGAGAGATGTTCTAAATGAAATTTCTTTTTGTTTTAAACTTGTGTCAAATCTGTCTATGTCAAGTTAAAGTGTATCTTAAAAATTTCTTGACTTTACTAGGTGCAAGTCGGCTTGAATTGTGTTCAAGTCTTCTGGAAGGAGGCCTCACTCCTAGTCTTGGTGAGCAGCAAAATTCCCATCCTAGATTTTTGCAAGAGTCTCTGGAGCCTTCATGTCCATATAATCATACTGCCTCCTGTTTGTTCTGCTGCAGGTCTTCTACAGGTCGTAAAGCAGTATATTAAAATTCCAGTCTATGTAATGATAAGGCCTCGAGGCGGGGACTTCCTGTACTCTGGCCAAGAAGTGGAGGTGATGAAGAAAGACATAGAGCTGATGAAGACCCACGGTGCTGACGGTATAGTAATAGGTGCCCTGACAGAGGATGGACGGGTGGATGCAGATCTCTGCATGGAGCTGATAGGTACAGTAAAAAAAAAAAAAAACATAAAAAAAACTTTAACATTACCAAGAGCCACTTCCAACAAATATAAGCGAAAAAAAAAAATGGTGTGATTGCATACACGACCTATAAACCACTACAGTTGAATCCGCTTATATTGATCATGTTGGTCTAGAGCCAATGTGAACACTAAGCGGTTGATTACTATATCTGAATTTACCATTATTTCACTTATTTTTTTATGCAGAATATCATCTAAATGCCATTTGTGTGGTTTTTCAATGAGAAAAATGAAATGAAACAGATAGCTTCCATATTTACTGAATTTTATTACAGTACCATGCAAGTTTAATGACAGTATACTGCGCTGTGTGCAGACATAACTCTGGTATGTGGTGCCGCCGGTGCATTTTTTTTTCATCAAGTCTGAAGTTTGAATAAAGCGGTTTCATAGAACAACAACAAAGAAGATAACTGCATAGGCTACAGATCAGAGTGTTGTCCAAAACTGAGTTCACTTCTTTTTCAAAATGATGTAAAATGTCAAAGTTTTTGAAACCAACATGCAGGAGACCAGTCTCATGTTTAACAGATGTGGAGTGTTTTTTGCAAAATAAATAAATGGTTAATGCAAAATGACCACCCAACAAGACAAAGAGGAGCAATGAAATTAAATGGCGCTGAAACCGAGATGATTAGTTAAGGTTGCAAAAGTTCTCTATGTTTCCAGCTAAAGGACTAAATGATTTTTATTTAAGGTAGTTGCACATTTGTGTATATTTATTAAAAAAACGAAAATAGTTTACAGGAAACACTTCCGTTTATGGAATGAAAAAAAAAAGAAGTAAAACTTTTCTTTTTACAGTTAGAATAGTAGGCAGTTGTAGCCATTTCACTGTCCTATGTCAGTATTGCATCAGGAACATTGTTAGTGTTCGGTCAACTTTAGTAAACAATATTAACAGGACCAAAAACACAAAATTTAATTGAGGGGAAAAACCTTATTCACCAGTTTATAAATGATTAAACAGACTGGAGAGTAATGGTGATAAACATTGGTTACTGTGTATCTAAATATAGGTAACTACCGTAAATCCTCTAATATTGGCCTGTATTCCATTAGCAGATCGGTCTCTAATAATGGTCTCGCTGCCAGTGGAGGTAAATAATGGCAGGACTTGTATAAAGGCCGGGCTATAATTAGAACCAACAATGTTCCTGGGCAGTCCTCAACAACTTGTGATAGTAACATACAAGTACCACAGGGGGGAAATGTTTGCTTACGAATCCAATCCATTAGCATGGGAAGTCCCATCCTTACACAAAGATCGTAGTGGCCTTAATCGTTCTAATCTGATATACAAATGTGATTACCAGTAGGTCTGGTGGTAACCAGGCAGCGTTAAAATGACAGAATTTCGTTGGCCTTCGCTGATCTGAATTTCCCTTGAAACATGATATTGGCAGCCTACTTCTACTTAGCCTGCCTCAAATAAAATTTTGCTGTGATGGCAGAACAATTTCCATAATTTCTTTTTTTTTAACTTTGTTTCACAACTCAGTTTGGCCAAAATTCCATTCTGTGTCTTTTTTTTTTTTTCCCCGTATTGCAGTGCAGAAAAATTGCAGCTGCTGGAAGATGTCTGAAAAATGTTCTGTATATCGTACTTTTTCAGTAAATGAACCGAGTATTTTATAGGTTCAAGGAGACTAAAAATCTGGTTTTTATTAATTCCACTGGTAGTCTGTTTTAATCAAATAAAAATAGAGGCCTGCCTCTAATTCTGGCCTCCTTCCAATAATGGCCTGGACCAAGATGTATCTGAGTGAAATAAAGGCCCTGTCCTATATTAGAGGATTTACGGTATGTGCAGTGTGTTTGCAGCAGGGATACACGATGTGTTCAGACTGACTGCCAGCAGGGGGAAACAAAATACCAGCACATGAGGTGCTGGTATTTTGATCCTTTAGGTTTTGCTCCAGGCTGATTAAGAGGTTCCCACTGGCTCAAAAGGATGCAGGTTGTTAGTGTAAGAATTTAATAATACAGTTGGCTAAGTGCTATTCTAAGAAGGAAAATATATAATTAGGAGGAAGTTAAACATGTTAAAGTAATCAGAAATTAGATTATTTATGGACATTAAACTGCTTGATGAATCAGCAGTTTTCTGCACGGTGTTGGTGAAAATATTTTTCTCTCTGTCACCAAACAAGGAAATACTTTTTGAGCTCAGTCTAAATTAGTTTATTGCGGAATAAAGGGCCATGCTTGCTGTATTGCAGATAACTAACATGCAATAAAAAAATCCTTTATGTTTAGAGTGTTTTTTTTTTTTTTTTAAGCTCATTCATCCAAATGATGTACTATACTGAAGTAACATGGTGGATTTCTCTTTAAGATGAATGATGAGAGCAGCTCTCAAACATTATAAAAGCAGGAAGTGAGCAGATCAATAGCCTGTCCTTGATCCATCTAAGAGTCATTTCAGTTTGTTCAGGCAGTTACGAAGGAAAGAAACAAATCTTTCTTTACTTTATTTTTCATTTAAACTGTTTCAGTATTTAAGATGATTTACTAATGTCTCTGATGCATGAAATAATAATATATTTTTAAGATTTAATCATAGCCACTGGGAGTCCTCAATAATATTTTCCAAGTCACAGAGATTAGGCTTTTTTGTTTTAGTCCTTTCTATATTCATGTGTTTGAAATCTGGTGGATTCATAAGATCCCCTGCGGCACGACACAGTCACCAACCTCTTTTCGATATTTTTTTTAATTAGTCCTGGATATAAAAATTTTGGGTGATTTAACTTATTTCATGTTAAAATACAGTAACGTAAATATAAACAAGTCATCCCATCATGTCAATTATTCAACATTTTGAAATCTATTCCCTTCATAAACTTTTTAACCGTGTCTGACTCAGTATGCAGCTATTATCTATGTTACAGAATACCAGCATCTGTACTTAATTTTCAAGTTATTGGATGAAAAAAAGAAATCCTCAGCATGTAGGTTATTAAAATGAGAAAAGTCAACATCTCCTAAAATTAAAATTCGTCTTTGCTTTTTTTTTTCCTGACTTTAATAAGATGTTCTGTGCCTTTTGCTCCCCAGCTGCTGTACGCCCTCTGCCTTTGACCTTTCACCGAGGTAATTTTTACCCATTTAAAATACATTTGGGTTTTTAAAATTGTAAACAACTCCCAGGTTTACAGGTGAATAAACTGTCAGAGAGCAGTCTTTATTAAATGGTCTAAACAAAACAAAAAATGAAATGAATGAACAGTCATATATTTATATTAATGTTTTTATATATATATAGATTTTTTTTTTTTTACTGTTTTTCAAGGCTGCATATTAAAAAAGTTGAAATTGCCCAGAGAGCTGTTCCAAATGAAATTTCTTTGTGTTTTACACTTGTGTAAACAAAATAACAAATCTGTCTAAGTAAACAGGAAGGTTTCAGAGTGAGTAAAACTTCCTTTGATGAATGAATGTTTGATTGATCTGTTTGCAGCTTTCGACATGGCCCACGATCCAGCCGAGGCCCTGGAGACGCTCATATCATTAGGATTTGAGAGGGTGCTGACGAGCGGCTGTGACAGCACGGCTTTGGAGGGAGTGCCTGTTATTAAACGGCTCATTGATCAAGTAGGTATTACTCAGGCTCTTATTATTAAAAAGTTTTTTTTGTTATTTTTTTAATCCGGTCATTAGAATAGAAACTGTATCATTGATTGCTCAGAAGTTAATCAAGTTTTTTAAGGGGATTTACTCTGTAAGATTTTGTCCTGTGCATTATTAGACAGATCCATGTCTTTTTTGCTTTTTTTTTTTTTTATATTTTGGGTGAAAAGATCCCTTCAACTAGTCTAAAATTGGCCGACAACTTCTTCTGAGTTTGATTTAAATAAATGGTGGCTTTCCTTAGATCCAAGCAAACATCTTCCCTCTTGGGCATTGCCTTTGTACACACATGCAGTTGAGCTTTATCACAGGCCCTTAGACTTATTAATGAATTATCAGTTAATCAGTGCCGATCAAACCAACCTGTCTGCTTCAAAACATTTTGATAAATAGATGGTAATAAAATTGTCTTTGTATTCCACAAACTATTTTTGCATTTTCTTTACATAATTTTAGCTCTTTCAGATGAACTGGTTTTTAAAATGTATATTCAACACTGCTGCCTTTCTGTTTTTTAAGGATAAATGCATGGATCCTTTTAAATAGTTTGTACAAATATGAAAAGCTCAATGTTCACAAATACATTTTCTAGTATTGTTGTGTATTTCAATGTTAAAATAGTGTAGTTTTTCCTTAGAAGATGGTTACCCCTTTTATTTTGGGGTGTTTTTTCTAATCGTTGTTCTTACTGCTATTTTGATGTATAACAGGTATTTTTCTATCTGTTATGTGTGCAGGTAAATCTGGTTGTGATATTTTCAGCAAGAGCAACTATGTGCTTCTATTTTAATCACTTTAATGTAGTTATACTAGTACATTATGTCCACTGAGGGACAAATTAAAACATATTTAGTTGCTAACCTGTGCAAGATGCTCTCTGAAAAAATTTCTTCAATATGCATACAGACACACAGTTGGTCTATTTAGTAAAAATAAGAGTACATATTTTTTCACACAATTGTAAAAAAAAACAAACAATAGATATAAAAAAAAAAAAAACAGTTTGTGTTGGTTTTAAGTTGCTATTTCTTTTCTTTGAGATCGTCTACTAACTAAAATTTGTTTGATGAAATATTTTGCAACTTAAAGGAAAGTCTGCCTGGGATACATTTCATCAGCCGTTTTCTATTTAGATGTTTCATTTCAGTGTTCTCTTGTCTGATACCGTGGTGTTTTGGAGATTTTTAAATTCCTTTGTTTTTGTTTGATTTAGGAGGTTTTTCCCATTTTGGTTTCTCTCAAATCAACACTTAAAGCGCTCTAACAGTTTGATCTGCTCTTTCAGGCTAAAGGGAGGATAATTGTCATGCCAGGTTAGTACTTCCACATTTCTCGTTATTGTTTCAACAAATTTTATTCCTTAATTCATTATTTTCTTTATATATTTAAATGGCAGGAGGTGGTATTACTGAGAGGAACCTACAGAGAATATTAGAAGGTTCAGGTGCTGAGGAGTTTCATTGCTCAGCACGCTCCACCAGAGACTCGGCAATGAAATTCAGGTCTGTTTTAAAACCTTTTAATTCTTTACCGGTTGTGTTTCTACTTTACTTGAAAAATAAATTCTAAAAAGCTAAAAATAATTATAAAAAAACCTTCTCTTGGGTTTATTTCTACTGACCTTTTGATGCACAGGAACAAAAGTGTGACAATGGGGGCGACGATCTCGGCACCGGAGTACGACCTGAAGGTGGCAGATGTCAGCAAAGTCCGGAGTCTGAATGCAATTGCCAAGAATACCTTGTGATACCTCATAAAAAAAGGACAGTTATTTTAATACAATACAATAATGTTTTTCATGTCAGGTTTTTTTTTTTCTGTTTTTTTTCATTAAAACAGTGTGTATTTTTGCCGCTCAGGGATAAAACTGCTGTCTTAAACTCTATCTTTGACGGTTTTATGACTGAAGAGAAAAACTTTCAGAAGCAATTCTGAGATGTAAAGCACAACGCTATACAAGAGAATAACAGCATTTTACATCATACAATGGGAAATCTGGAAAAAGATTAAAAAAAAGAACCATGGACATAAAATTATACACTTACAGAAACAGAAATATAAAGAAATCTAAAAAAGTTTTACTCAGGAAGAGAAAAAAACTGAAAGTTCTCGCATTTAAACATTTCATCAGCCGTTTTCTATTTAGATGTTTCATTTCAGTGTTCTCTTGTCTGATACTGTGATGTTTTGGAGATTTTTAAATTCCTTTGTTTTTGATTGACTTTTGGAGGTTTTTCCCATTTTGGTTTCTCTCGATTCGTTCAGAGTAATAAAAGTTTTCTTATCTCTGAATTCGACAAAAATATATTTGCACTCATTTGTATATGTGGGTTTAACAACTTTCAGAACCAAGCTCCATCTTCTTTCACAAGATGGAAGGGAAAAACGTGTCACAGTCTATCTTCTTAGAACTAAAATACTTATTTCTCAAGAAAATGAGGCTTGTCTGTTTTATAGCATGACTTCAACCCTAAGGGACTGTTTTCTAAAGGCATGTTATTGGTGGAAGGTCTCCTAAATTAATGTCTTTTTATGTTTAGGAATTTGGTTTTGATTTTTTTTTATATATCTCATGATTAATTAAAAATCTGATTAAGGAAGAACAATTTAAACACTGGAGGTGTCGTAATTAATAGATGTTTATATGAGTGTAACCTAGAAAGGGTACACAGCACTAGCATAATATTTAAAAACAAATCATTTTATTTTTTATTTTTTTGAGGTTAAACTACTCCTAAGGAGGATCATCTGACCCTTAAGAACTTCCTGTAGGAGGAGCTTTCTTCTGGAGCCGCAGTGTAAAATCAGACAGAAACAAGGAGGAAGAGAAACAAAACAGCTTGATCAGCTTGCTGGAGTTCCTATTTTTCTATAAATCACCTCATTTTTGTCAGTAGTAGTTTGCTTTCCCTGCACACTATCCAACATGTTCACAATCACTCAGTTACATAATTTTACTCGTATATATATAAATGAGGAACTATCAAAGACAAAAAACAAAACTAAGAACCTTTATATAGTATCCATAAGAGCAATTATGGTGCATAGATACCCCCTCAATCCAATGTATTCACTCCTTTGTCCAATTTTTAATGATCTGTGTTAATAGATTGTATAACTGTCATGAATTTTGTGCTTAATTTCACTTGAAATATTAGGAAATTGACTCTCAGCTCGGTCCAACCTGGTTTTAAAAGTGACGAAATGAAGACGATTCTGTGTAAACTCTGGTCCTGACTTTTCAACACTTTTGACTTTTTAACTGATCCTGTTCAGATTCTCACAAGTTTTACAGAACAAATGTTTGGAATTAACAATGCAAAGTTGCTTAATTTATTTTCTCTCACCGCTTTATATGATTATTTGTTTCTATTTGATTAATTGGCCACCCGAAAAAGACCTTTAATAGCTAGCAGAGCTCCAAGAGGTCAATATAATTATTAGTCCTATTATTCTGAAAGAAAATGGTGCTGTACGTTGTAGTTTCAAGCGTTCACCCAAAGGTAAGAAAATGTCTGAATTAGGAGTAGGAGTTGTACAGTACTGCTGCAGCCGAGTTCAGTGGTGCTGATGTGGGGATAATTATTGACATTTCCTAATATAATAAAGGGCAGCCTGTGGCTCTTATGTAAAGATCAAGTTGTGTGAGCTAGTTTTAAATGAACTGGAAGGGGGGAAAAAATCTTCCCTTATATTTAAAACAAACAGTTGTATGAACACAATAGATACAATCTTGAACAACATCTCAGTAGTTTTTTAAAGATTATTTATTAGTTGGTTGATTGAAATCTTAAGTTTGTTAAGATAATTTTTAAAGTTTATTGTATAAATCAGTCACTGGGGAGAAAATAATTCTTTCTGCAGATCGGATTTCACCGTAGGCAGACATTTTGATGTAAAACAGGACAAAGCATTCAAAATATGACTCGCAGGTAAACTCACATCAAATGTAAACTCACATCAAACCAGGAACCATGATGTTTAACCTTAACCCACATTTATAATTTCTGCTATTCTATTAGTTAAAGCTAACTAAAATGATGATTTCTGCATATATGACAAACTTCTAGTTATAGGTATATTTTTCCTAGCTATTAAGTCCCTTTAAAATCATTTTCCGTTCTTAAAACATTTTATTTTGAAAATGCTTTCAAAACAGACTCTGCTAACAGCAGCACAGTTGCATGTTGTACAATGAACATTTTTTATGGTATGTTGGCGTGACGTAGTCCTGCAAGCTGCAGGCATATCGAGTCAGCATGACTTGTGTCCTTTGAAATTAGTAAATGTTTAATGATTACCCATGACACAGTAGGAGTCATCCATTTCAGGGCCTTGGCAGATAGTCTGAAACACACCTACAAACATAATCTAATCCCAGGGAAGACTATATTATCTGTGCTGTACTTTGAAAAGCTTCCCACCCAATGGATCTGACTCACCTGTAATAAGTTTAAAAGTAATCTTTATCGGATCTGTAAATATTTTTTTTTGTTTACTAAATTATCAGCTATGATTACACAAACTGTTAGGAAGCTAATGGTAGCAGCTTGCATGATTTTAAACCTTTTAATTGCCCAAGTTTTTTCAAATAAAAGTTACTAGTAAGTAGTTACTAGTGTACTAGTTAGTTACACTAACAGTGTAAATTCACCTTTGCTATACAAACAAAGAGGCTGAGTCTTTCAAGATACTAGTTAAAAAAGCATTTGAAATGGTAAACTCTATTCAATAAACTAAAAAAGATTTTTTAAATAAACAATTTCAGGTACATGTTTAACGACAACAAAACAGAGAGGATTAAAAATGAAGATGCTGTTGTAGTTTAAATATAGAGTTTAAGTCATGATTTTTATTTTTTTCCAACTTTGACCCTCTAAATATTAATTTAGTGAACTATAAATATTTATTACTGTCGTGTCTATCCTGTTGTCATGATGCTCCTTGGCCTATTTTTACTGGAGTTTATTATTCTTGGTCCAACAACATTTTGTTTTTCTTCTTGCCTTCTTGCTTTTCTATCTTTCTAATTTGAAATGAAAGATAACTTTAGAGGTAATTATAATAGGAAAATGATGTTTTGGTGCAGAAGGTGGGCTGACTTTATTTTTACCCTGAACAATGGGATTTGAACAATGGGATTTTTCTCAACTTTACATGTGTGTGATAGCATATAAAGACAGCAGCCTTTGATTTCCATCATGTATACAGTATGAGAGGACCTCTGTTGCTACTCCTGTAACCTTTTATCTACACTGTGAGCACAACAAGGGAAGTTAATCTATTCTTAATCTCACATGGCTCGCTTTTAGTACCGTCTAGATGTTCATTGAGCCCTCTGAGGCTGAAGTTCAGTCCTCTCACTGCTAGGAAAGGGAAAAAAAGCATTGAGGTAAAAGGGTTTTGCAATGACCACTCCCCCCAATCAGTGACGAGTCAGTCTGTTACTAAAACAAACACATCTCATCATTATACAAACTGTACTAGTTGAGAATTTAATTGCATTTGACAACACTGCTGGAAAAAAAGCTGGGCTCAATCCAGACTCTTTCACTCTCAGAGAAGTGGAAGCACAACAGGAAAGTGGGCATAATGATCCCCTCCCTCCCTCTTCCTAAACACAGTTCCTTTTTAAGAGAGCTGTCCCCCCCAACACATGGAAATCTGCACTGTCAGACTTACGCAAGTTTTTCTCCCATGTTCTCTCTCTCTTTTTAGTTATCTGCATGGAACTTTAAACTTAAGACAACAATGAGTGTGAAGGAGCTTTACTCTGGGCTCATTAAGAGTGGGAGTTGATCTTTTTATGGTTTTCCACTTCTGTGAGGTCTGTGTCAGTCTACTATGAAGAATTCCTAGAAGATCGAACCTCAAGTTCTTCAATTCTATTTAATCATTTTGCAGCCTATCAGCACATGTGCTGTTATTGTAATACATCTTAACACATTAGGGAGTTACCATGAATTGCTCGTAGTTTTTTTTTCTTTATTTTGAGAGGGGGGGGGGGGTTGCTTCAGAGGCTTCTGGATCAAAGTCTCTCAGAGCCATATCCTGATATTGTCTCCTCTTTGTGGGTGGACAGAGGAGAGAGTAGCAGTGTTTCAGTGGAGCTCGGCTGCAGTGGAGCAGAGGGCACAAGGCTTCAGGACTTCAAATCATCTGCAAGCCAGTGAAGCCAGCACAACGGATCATGTGTGCTGCAGCTCTGGACGAGTACTGCGGGTCGGTCTTTTGGGTGAGTTTAATAATCAACAGATGTTGCTCAAAAGAGTGGTCATGTTTTTCATCTCTTTGAATTTCAGCTTAGACATCTTTTCTCTCAGCGTTATTTATATCTTCTTTTTAAAACCTTTTTAAAACCTTGAAACAAAAAGTGTATAATATGTGTATATGTTTATCTTTACAATTGTAAATGTAAATGAATAACAAATGCATGTATAGTTTACCTTTCTGAGAACTTTTTTTAAAATATGATTTTAACAAAGCTCTTTCTGGGCATGATTCAACAAGTCAAGTAACCATAAATAGCATTTTAAGACCAGAAATACTTTTTTCCTGAGAAATGACAATAGTTTATTTTCCAGAAGTCTCTTTTTTTTTTCTTAAGCAGTCATTAAAAATGTGTGACGAATTATTTGAAAGCAAGAATGTTTAAAACTGTACAGATGAGTCAGAAAGAAATGGTTTGTACACTTTACACTAAACTTCTTAAATGTACAGGAGAACCTTTGTTTTTAACCCAAAAGCTTTGAACTGTTTATATGGGTTAGGTTTAATTGTGGACATGAAAAAGTCACAGACTTGTTCATTTTCTTTCACAGAATTCAAACAAATATTTCCTATTCTTACTTTCTGTTTCACATGCATTTTTTTTTACATTCTGAGTCAGTGTAAACATACGTACGTACCTGATGAACTATCCTAACCTGCAAGTCCCAGATGAACTCATTAACTAAGATGACCAGTCAAAAGTATGAAGAACGTTTGAAAACGGATAGTTTTTAACGTCTCCTTATTAAGAAGCTGTTCACATGCTAACTCAAACTAATCTGATTTATAGTAAAACTTGCCTGTTTATCCTGTATTCCAGGCTTTGACATAGATATTTTCCATTCAAAATTATACTGAAAGCAAAGCATGTTTGATAAACACATTAGCTATAAAAAGCTTAACCACACTTATTTAAACAAAGAAAGTGATGAAATGTTGAAACTGATACATATTTCTTTTAAACTTTAAAATCTGTCTTGTAAGTATTTTGCAAAGTAAAGTAAAGGCATAAATAAATTCTA